TTGTTACAGGTTTATATCCCCTAATTTGAAAAGTTGGAAATGTTCTTAAATCTGAGAATGTAGAGCATGTGGGGGATGTGAAAATGTAGGGACAGTGAAATAATGTAAAAAAAAATTTTCTGGTCACATAGACGAGGTGACTAGGGGATGAACTTTGTTTCTTCCTGGAAGATATTTTATTAAACCTTTACCATGTCAAGCATGTGAGAAACATGATCAGCTGTGACTGTTGCGGCCTCTTGCTGTGTCGTAGTGACCCAGTGATGTCACAGTTGACGTTATTGTCTCATAGTTTCCACAAAGCCAGAATTTATAAGTTTCTGTGTGGGATCTCTTGTCAGTTTGCTGGTGAGATGTCATGTGATGTGGTTGTTTGGGAGATCTGCCTGCAAGGTTTCATGTTCATGGCTGGCTGCTGATGGGGACCACAAACTTGCCTCAGTGAGAGTCTTTGGGACATGGAAGTTAATTTCCCTAGAGAGATCAATGCAGGGCAAAGTTAGGTAGCACCTGAGTATGACACACAAACCATCTCCTTAAGGCACAAACTTCCTGCTCATATGGTCAGGCATGATCCAAGGTATGTAGGGGTAACATGGGGCTCTGTGTGCCACAAGGTGTGGCCCCCTACTTGCAGCATCTTGGGGGCTGACTACCTCATGGGCTATCCTTAAGAGTCAGACAGAGTTCATCAGGAACTCCTTGAAGGAGCTGAACTGTCACAGGTGCTCAGAACTCTTGTAAGAGTTCTCCCCAAAGCCAACGGTCAGATGCATCTCAGTACAGTGGAAGGAGCTTGCTTTCAGATTCATATTTCATGTTTAGTGACTTGATTAGTAGTCAGTCAATAAATGACCTGATAAACAAAGTTAGGACTAACTAAACCAAAGACATCCAAGCTCTGACCAATGATGAGAAGTCTGGGGTGTCTGAGTCATTGATTTTGATTAACCCTATAGCTCTGAGGTCCATTATAAGAGGCCAGCGAGATGGATCAGTGCCTTAAGGCACTTGGTGACAAGCCCGAGTACCTGAGTTCAAATCTCCTGGACCCACTTGGTGGAAGAAGAGAATTGACTCCCGCAGTTGTCTTCTGAGCCCCATGTGTGCTATATAGCATGTGCAACACACACACACACACACAAACACAAACACACCTACACAAATGCACACCTACACACACACCTACACAAACACACACACACACCTACACAAACACACACCTACACAAACACACACCTGGACAAACACACACCTACACAGACACACACCTACACACTCACACACACACTCCAAGCAAATATGTAAAAAGAATAGACTTCATTAATACATTTTTAGTAAATATCAATGGAAATTCGAAACCTAAAAATTTTTTTCTTAAGTTTCTCAGGTCCATAAGTCTGTGTTGTTTCCCTTTAAGTAAGCTAATGCAACTAGGCAGATATTTTCATAAGTAAACATTTACATGATCATGGACAAAAAGATAGCTGTATGTGGCCTCCTCATTCGATTACACTTTTGGAGATACATTTCAAGTAGTCAATTCCAACATAAATTTATTAAATCCAAATGGTAGCCATTTGCACAGGACACCGAGTCCCAAGGCACTGATGGCATTGATTTTTATTACCAAGGAGATAGTGATAATTTTTTTTTTGGTTGTTAGTAAAATATCAAAAAGTTCAGTAAAAGGGAATCAGCACTGATCTAGTGGACAGAGGTTTGCTAAGGTTCACCCCTGAGATTCTGACACTCACTGGAAGGAGGCAACTATAGTTTCAACATTCAGAGTATTGTGTTTGTTATTGTTGAGGTTGTGATTGTTGGTTTCATTGTTGTTTGTGAGTGAATGAATGATGGTTGAAAAAAAAGACTTTTAGACGTAGGCTGATGATCTTGGGACAGGTCAGTAAGTCTGAAGTTCTGAGTTCCACTGTGAAGATAAACAGCCACCATTGTTATGGGAAGTGAATGGGGGGGAAGAATAGGCCTTTTTTCTTTCTCTTTTTCTTTTTTTTTTTCATCTATTGAGATGGTTTAGTTCAAATTATATTTTTATATGTAAGTCAATACACGAATAAAGGAATAAAATCTCTAAGTGCATGAAAAAAATCAAGGAGTGCCATGGGTGGATCAGTTATGAAATGGATTCGGAAGCCAGGAGGGGGAGGGGAAGGTCTGCAGTCAGCTTGCAGAAAGCCTGTTGGAATTGGCTGCTGGGATGAGTGGGGGAAGGGAGGTTGGAGGAGGGGATCTTTTGTGATCATTTGGAGAAGGGGGCGGAGGTCAGAGGAGGAGGGGGAGGAAGGAGAAGAGGGGGAGAAGGGAGAGTGGGGGAGGTGAAGGCTTCCAGCTAGCTCACCTGTACTGCTGGCTGGAGATGGCTTTGTATTTTCAATTTATTGATTTTTTTTTTTTGCTCTATTGTCTGTTATTTTCTTTCTCTTTTTTTTTTTTCTTTTGACCTCATTTGCTTTTCTTTGTCTAGTTTCCTCCTAGGTACCAACACTTCTCTTGTCTGAAACTTTCTTCTCTTTGATCAAGAAACTTCTGATTTCTTCTCCTGTCTACCCAAGCTACTTGTAACTGCCAATGAGTTTCTTAGGATATACATTATAATTTTACTATACATCAGAGATTGCATAATTAGAATACACCATGAAATACTGATGACCATTTATCTAGTACTGTCTGAAGACAGCCCAATAAAAGAGAGTCATAGCCTATATGAACCTGGATGAGGGGGAGTGTTTTGTATAGCTACATTTTTAATAGTGACGGGGTTTATGGGGTACTAGAGCTAACAGTCTCAGAAAAGTACTGGTTCATTCAAAAGCAACCTAGCTAGGCTCTGTTTACATTTCTAAATCTGGCTAAGTCTATTTTTCTTCCACAGAGTGCTCACAGACAGCTGACTTACTGAGTTTTGCTAAGAAAGAAAATCGCGGACAGGTAGCTCGACATGTAAGGATCAGAGAGGATGATGTGGGTGACAGATCAGGTTCGTGGCCTTGCTTGGGATGCTTTGTTCATGTACGTTCAGTAGTAGCTCAAAGGGATACAAGTTTAAAAAAATAAATTAAGGTCTCCAAGAATGGACCAGTGATAGGAAGGTCCTGGAAAACCTCCCCCCCCAAAAAAAAATCATCTAATATAGTGTAGTGGCAGTGATTTTTTTTTTTTTAATAGTAATATCCTGTAAAGGAAATTTTGTCCCCTGGAACATTGTGTTGTGTCATATGGACTAATAAGTTGGCCAGAGAAGGGAGTTGTAGAGGAAGGAAGGCTTGTCTGGACCAGTGATGAGTACCACAGGGTATCTGAATCAGGATATTGTGAGAACTGCTCATATTGTTGTTTTTAATTTCCTACTTCATTGATTTAAAGATTTACCTATCAGTGTGGCCCTGGCTGATAAGGAGGGCATCACAAGTGGCAGAAGATGCTGGCTTCGTTATCTTCCATCAGGCTGTCTTTACTTGGGGGACAGATTCACTCTGTACAAGGTCCAGCAGAGCAGTAATCAAAGCAGACTGAGATCAGACCTAGGTGATGGTGGAGGTGTCCCTCCCCTGAGTTCCATGGTTAAGGGAGATTTTTACCTTCAGTAAAGGGAGATCTTGACCCTGGAATGTTGTGTTGTGTCATATGGACTAGTGAATTAGCAAGAGAGGAGAGGTAGAGAAAGGAAGGCTTGTCTGGACAGGTGATGAGTACCATGGTGTATCTGAACCAGGATATTGTGATTAAACCTGTATATGACTCTGAGGTCTTTTACAACTATCCCTTCTTTAGGGCATAGTCATGTCCTTGGCTTTTGGGGGTGTGCTTTTTGGGGTTGCTTCATTATTTCTGTATCAGCACTGGAGGTTTCATGGGGTGGAGCCCAATAAGCTACATACATTCTCAGCTTAAGTTTTACTTTTATTATGAAATTATCAAAAAGGTTGAATAACAAAAGAGGACAAAATGGTCAATTATTACAAAGGACCTATAACAAGACAAGGATTGTGTTTAGATCTCCTCCTGTAATCCTTCAGCCATATTTCTTTCATAGATAGCCCATCACTATCCAACAGCTCACTGTAGACTCCTCATGTACTCTAGGGGACAGCGGGTGTCAGTTCTCTTAGGTGCGTACAATCTTGTCAAGCCTACTCTGTAAGCTTCTACTAGGCTTCCACAGACCCATATGAGACAAGGCTCGACAAGAAGCCAGTGTGTTGATTCATCTACCTCTCTAACTAGAGGCCCTCAGAGATTAAACAATACAGGCCTTTCTTTCCACAAGAAAAGGACTGCTGATGGAGTAAATCATTACTTATAAATCCATGAATAGCCTCATCAACTCAAGACAGTGTCATTGAAGAATAGGCAGCCATGACTGTGCCTATGATGCCTAGTAGTGGAGGTCAACACCATTGCAAAAGCTTGGGTAAAAGTCTGAGGCCATTTACTCAGTGAGAGATTCGCACTATTTTGTAGAAATTATCTTTGAGCAGAAGTTGGAAAAATTCAGCCAGCTTGCCCCTGAGAGTTTGTGGCTCAGTGATATGAAATCTGTTATTTCAAGAGTATTAATATGTAAGTAGGAAATAGATACGTAAAATAAGGAAGACACACCTATTTTTGTAGCAGGTAGTGTAATAAGCCAAAGATAACTCAGGCTATTGCCTACTAAAAAGCAAGTGCACTTGTCAACCCGAAGTAACGTAGGATAGAGTCAGTAGCCCTCTTTCATATTGTGTATATTAGTAGCTGTAGTTAATAGACTTGCTTGGGTGTTTATTGGTCATTAAGAAAAGCAAACTGTGTGAGCTAGCAATTTGTTAAATAGCCACCTGATTTATAGATGGTTGTAAACACTGGAGAACTTACTCTTGGGAGAGGTAGTAGGCATACGTGTTTTCCCACATTGAAAATCAGAACTTTGATGGTAAATCTAAAGTTGATTGTACCCACGAAATTCTAAATCTTCTTTTCCCTCCTGTGGTGAATATAGGACCCCTGATTTAATTACTTAATATGGAACCATTGTCCTGAATAAGGAGCATAGATAAGGTAAGACCCATAGTCTCCGTCTGGACTCTTTTGTTTATGGCGGCTAGCTGATAAATTTCAAAATTAGTGATCATCACCTACCTAAAGCAGTTAGCTTACAAAATCATGTTTAATCCAAAGTAGCATAGCAGAAATGAGTTTCAAAGAAGAAAGTAGTTATTGAACTTGCCCCCAGAACTTTAGTGTTAACTCATTCCATTATGGTTGAGCTCACCTCGCCAACAGTAGTCCTTTGGGAAGGCCCCCATATAAATGCTAGCTCATGAGCCTGTGAGCATTTCCAAGGTGGACGATGGGACAGCAGTGCTTTAGTATATTTCATGGAGCCATCTTTGACATACGGATGAATGAAATACAAGAGAACCACCCAAAAACTTGATGTGGATGGATCTGATCCAAAACAGAAGCATTAGCTTCACAGTGTGCCTCTGAGCACGTGCCCTGATTAAAGCAATGTGGTCTGAATATCCCGATGTGAAGAGACTGCTCCTCCCCAAAGATCTTGTTTTGGGGACTGAGTGTTGTTAATTGCGAAACATTCAGTCACTAAGTGACGCGAACACCCAGCATAGGCCCGTGATGAGGAGCATGGGGTTTCTGACCGAGGACAGTGATTAAACCCTTATGAAATCTGAGGACTATTGCAAACTGGTGTCTCCATCCTATAGAGATGAGTCCCCAAAGCCCGATCTTTGGGGATTCTTGGCACAGCCCACATTCCTTTAATAAAATTATCCGTGAATAAAGAATGTATGAATGAATCAAAAATAAAAAAAGGACACAATTGGCAAAGATAGTCAGCCTCAAAACAGAAAAACAAAAACATAATAAAGCAACAAAACAAAACAAACGATCCCCTCAAAATAGGGCAGATGAGATGGCTCTTGTGAACAAGCCTGGTGATCCAAATGCCACCTCTGAAATCTCATAGAGAGGAACAGAGTCCTACATGTTGTCCTCTGACCTACACACACACACACACACACACACACACACACACACTTACGAACACATGATACAAATGAACAAATTAAAATAATGAGGAAGAAAAACCTGATTGTATACATGTACTTTTAAAGCATTTAATGCTTTAAACAATGCTTTAAGACAAGCCAGTTGACTGTGATGGTGTATACCTTAGTGTTCTGGGGTAGAGGCAGGTACATCTCTAGGGATTGCTGGCTGAGCAGTTCCAGACCAGTGAGAAACTTAACTTCTCTTCTGTTGACTGGCACCCAAGGCTGTCCTCTTGCCTCATCTTTGAACACAAACGCACATGCATGTGGCCAGGAAAGTTAAACTTGGGCCATAACAGAGATTATACCATATGGCAAATCTCTCACCTCCTATTTTGCACAAAGTCTCACCTAAAAGACAACCTAGCTCTTAATGTATGTTGGTAACAAACACACCAGATGTTCCTAATAATTAGGGTTATTTTTCTTCTCCTTACTGCTGGGTTCAGTGGTGTTCATTACATTATTTAAAATAAAACGCGTGCAGGTTCATAAATATCAAATGCTGTTCTCGCTTAAATCCCATATGGTAATACATATAAAGGAGCTGCTGCCTTCCCAAGTGTTCTGACCGGAACACAAACCAAAGCTTACGCCTAATTGATCATCCCCAACTGAAGTCCCCCCCCTCAAACTAAATGACACCAATTCATTTGAATGTTTGCCTTTTACTCCCCAGAATGAGTGTGGCTGGCGTCACTTCATGATTCCATTCTGGGAAAGACCTTGCCTGTTAAGTGTGAGAGAAAGAGGGAATATGCAGATGTAAATGGGGTTCAAACTTCATGTCCTTGCTGAGGGCCCCCAACATGCCTATAGAATGGGTCTTGGGGAACAGGTTCAAAAGTAGCCATGAGCTGACCAGTAATGAGAATATTTTGTGAGTTAATAGTCAGGACGGAGCCACTTGAGCCCCACCAAATTCCTCAGGAGTGTGTTTCAACCATTTCCAGAATGTCTTAATGTGATTTGGTGCATTATGGATCTGGATACTTCTCCATTGACTGCCTTCATGGTCTCCTCACTCATGGGAAAATCTAATGAATGAAACAGTGTATCTTCTCATCAGATGGTAGTTCCTTGTGCCATCTTTATACAGATATTCAGTGAGAGAAGCTGTGTGAATGAAAGCAAGTGATTAGGATGCATGGACCTGGGTTCATTCAGATTTCCCATGTTGAGGCTCGCAGCAGAAAGGGCAGGCTTTAGCTCCGTGGGATACGCACTGTCAAACTGTATTTGTATTTCCAAGTATCGTTCTTCTCTTAATCCATGGATATTGATTACATTATTAGCGAATCAATGAATAAGTCAAGGCTAGTACGACTGACTAAAAGCACAGAATGCCAGGTCTATGAAGAATGTCTGAGTCTGAGGTCTGTGTTTTAAAAGTGGCCTCTTGTGTCCAAGAAAGAAAGGGACTTAAAGCTTGGGTACTTGGACCAGGAATGTTCACATTTCATGCATACAGACTGATTTTTTTTTTAAATGAGAAATTGTTAAGGTATTAGATACATAAATTGGTCGGTATGGAAAGAACTAGGTGCAGGCCATCATGAAGTGTAGGATAGACCGTCACTGCCAGTTCTTATGGAATCTCACTGAGGGTGTGTGTAGTTAGCAGTAGGATCCCAAGATCAGGGCCAAAGTCAGCTACATAGTGACCCTTGGTCTCCGCCCCTCTTCACACTAAAATCAAAACTAAGCATCCCGAATACTTTGTCTTTAAATTCAGGTTTCATTTTTTTTTAAAAAAAAATTATTTATTTATTTATTTATTTATTTATTTTGTGTGCCAATTGCACATTCTCGAGGAGTGTAAGTTCATTCTCTTTCTTTTCAAAAATAGTCAATTGGAAAAAGGATTCTTCCACCACTCTGGTGAGACCCATACCTAGGCAGGTATAGTCTTGGTCACTCTTGTCTCGAAGTGATGAACTGACCTTGATTGATTTTTATATTTATATAGTTAGACAAATAAAGCATTGACCTCCTCTTGGGTCAGTGAGAAAATGACAATTGACTTCATGAATATTTTAGAATCAAACTAATATCGGGTAAAGTGATCTAAATCTAATTGGCTCATTGTTTTAAACTTGGTATTTGACAGAATGAAGAGGATAGCAGACTGAATTTCTCTCTGAGAGGAGGAGTTTGCTATTGCCATTTTGGGTAAGAGGCTTTATCACTCCATAATAATCAAAGAATCCTGTCAGTGAGGGCTGATTTCTTTGTAGTGTTCCTTCAATTATTTGCGTCTACTCATCTACAAAACAATGATACAAATGAATTATGAAACAATTGTTATGAATCTATCCTGCGTATTTTACTCACAGAACGTTTTACTCGTGCGCTGTGGTTTACTTAAAAGTTATCTAGTTAAAGGTCTGAGGCTGCGTGTCCAATATGGCTGTTGCCATGCACACATGGCTGCTTATATATAAAGTAATTACAGTGAAGTGAAATGTGAAATTCAATTTCTCCGTGGCAGTGGCCACGTTGCGTGTAGTCAGTAGCTACCTGAGCCTTTGGGGCGCTGTGTTGGAGATTCAGTTAAGTCTCAGGTTTGCATTATCCTGCAAAGTACAAATGGACAGCTCTTCACTGAGAAGGCTCAACTCAGGAAGAGGAAAGAGAGACAGATGTGATGGCTGTGAGACAGGCATACGAATTGATCCATCCATGGTTCACTGAAGCCCCCTGGAAAAACAAGCCAGGAGAGAGCTAGGAAATGAGAAAAGAAAGAACCTGTAGGGAGAACTTGGCTCCGAACACATTGTTCTTGCCTCCTTCTTTTCAGCTCATGAATATTTATTTCATCGCCCCCCAGTGAGGCTCTCAATGGGTCAATAAACAAAACTGTCTCTGAAAGAAAAAGAAAGAGGTCAAAGGTTGCTTATCTGGATCAATGATGATTACCCTGGGGTGTCTCAATGGAGGACTTTGACTAAGCCCTGTCACCCGGAGGTCCATTGCTGAAAAATCTCATTTATTATCTCTTTGGGATATGTTCTTAATCTGCCAATCAGAAATAACCCCGGGCTGTAATCTTGGGCTTCCGTGCACTAAAGCAGTGTAGGACTCAACCAAGAACCCTATAAGTGAACACTAACAAAATGGGTCATTTCTCTTTCAAATATGTGAGTATTTAATGCAGTGAGAATCGTTGCTAATGTATTTATGAAGCTTGACATTCTAGCAATGTATTGATCAAGGCTGATTCTGCGGGGCAAGGAGCATTTGGATAAATGTTTGTTGTTTTGACATATTGTGTGTGTGTTTTTTAAGGGAAGTACAAAATATTTAAGACGATTATTAACTAAATAAAATCTGAAGAGAAGAGGACGTACCCATGAATCTAGGCTGACAGCATGCCCCAGATGAATGAACAATTATAATTTCTCTTCCACTTTCCACTATATTTCAATTCTAACCCTGACTTTAATTTAAATAGTTAGGAACGTGCGTTAATCTTTCCATGACTGAACATATAAGTTAATCTGGCATTAATATATTGTCTTATTTCTGTGGAATCACAGCTGTAATGGCATTATCCCATATAGAAAAAGGACATTACTATCTCAATTAATGAAGCCATCCTGCAGGACCTTTTGTTATGAGACAGATGGATTGTTACAGTACCACCTAAATTAGAGAAAGCTAATAAACTGAGCCCATCACATTTTTACAGTGGTTACTACATTTATTTATTTAGACACACTATAATATTATAAAGTTTTTGTCCTGTTTCCTTGACATTTCAGGGTCAAAGAATCCCCTATGCAGCCAGACAGCCCCAAATATATTTCTATTGCACAGACACCTGCGTATAGTGGGCTTGGATCTACTTCCTTCAGCCTAGGTTCAGTCAGAATATTTTGCTCTTCCGTGGCAAGCAGGGCATGTTTAACTAGACAGACCCATGAACCAATCTTGGTGTTCATGCTTTTGTCTGGTCTGCTGTTATAGGAAAGTTACTACTTATTGGACTGTCAGTGAGTTAGGGGCTTTGCACATGGGGTTATTCTTTAGTCCCATCAATTTTTCTTGAGATATAATAATTTGAGATTTTTTTTTGGCTATAAAAAGCTGAGTTTAGACTGAGCCTCCTATCTGTCCATCTGTACACTATAAATTTTCATTTTTGTAATGGCTTGTCCTCAGAATGCATATACAAGTACCCATCGTTCTCAGGTTATAAAGGAATGGATGGTTATCTTTCTGAGCCCTCAGTGATGGAGTCTGTGTTCACAACTGCTGACTTCTCATGTCACTGTGGGTCTCTGTTCTAATATCAGGAGGGAAAGAAGAAGACATTCTTAATTTCTTAAACTTGTTTTGCAACATTTTTCTAATAAATCATCACACACTCAAATAAACCAGACCTACAGACCTAAGTTTTATTAAATGACAATACATAGCTATTACCCACAGCTTTACAAACATCTTCACAAAAAGTTTTACAAAACGTATACAAGTAATGTCATCAAGTTTTCATTTGGTGTGCTCATCCCTCAGAACCACTGGTGCCAGTTTTCTTTAAACATCGGGCCTTGCTTGCAAGCTCTACGGTTACGCCCAGTTTTTACATGACACCCCAAGACATGTGAGTAATATTCACAATTATTTTCATTGTTTGCTGATTGAGTGCATCCCAGCAAGGGATTGCATTATTCTGAAGAACAAAATAAGATTGTTCTTAGGCTGTTCCTATTCACAGACCTTTTTATTACTAATCAATCGCTGTGTTAATCAGCACACATGCATATATTATGAGAGAAGAAAAAAAGCAAATATGGACCAATGATGACCTTGTCTATATTATAAGTCATGGACGATGACAACATCCTTGATTCTGAGGTTCATACTATAACATATCTCAAGTGCCTCTCTTGGAAAGAGAGTAACAGTTAGACATTTGCACTCGATTCAGGCACTCTTACATCGTGATCAATGAATCACGAAATAAACACAGATGCACCTGCAGAGAAATCAATGGAGGCATCGATTAATTATGAAAATAAATATTTGACCACAAATAACTGCTAATCTGTGCAGAAAATCTGAAAGTCTCTTAAGAAGTCATTGGCATGAAGATGAATATAACCTTTATGCACGTTGCCATATCCGGTATAATTAGTGGTTTAAGCTCTCATGAGCGTCCAGGACTTCATCCGAAATGTTATTTGATTTCTTAAGAAACTTTCGTGACAATTTGAATTGTAAACAACAAGTAAATAATGAAAGGAAAAAATACAGAAATAATTGTTAAAATACCAATCTTATTAATTTCTCGCTGTTTTGTTCTCCCTGGATGCTGCGTAACATTGTTTCCTGGCTGGGAGGTCCCTGTTGCCCTATGCCCATGTGTAACAAGCATGTAATCTGATGTAAGTGGAGTCAACGTTCTTGTCTTGGTTTGGGGGCCATCATCAGATGCTCCTGTCTTGTCAGGAGGGGCCATCATCAGATGCTCCTGTCTTGTCAGGCATAGGCTCCAATCAGGTCAACTCAACATGATCTGAGTGGTCAACTCAATCTGACCATGATGCCCTGTTGAGGATTTCCAAAATTAATAGACAAGAGAGAGGGTCAGAGTAATATAAGATCTGTTGAATAACTTCAGTCTTGTGCTAAGACTTATGATACCGAGTTACGTAAGTGTTCTAAGTGACACATATAACTGTTAATAAAAGTAGAAAGTGTGAGAGAAAGAAAAGGACAGTGTTGGATCGATGATGACCACTCACGATGTATGATCTGGGGATCATGAGTACAGGTCTGGGAGTCTGAGGTCCACACCCAAACTCACGTAGTATGGAGCTGGGATAAAAATCTTGGGTGTAGCATAGTATGTTACAATCCTTAGGTTCACATGCCTTTATTGTATTTACTCTTAAATTATAGTAAATGAAAGAGGGCAGAAGATTTTCCAATTACGGAAATATTAGCAAGTTCTAATACTAACACCATAAATACCAAACTTCAGAAATTCACTAGTAATCAATGTCCAGCGGTGTAATCCCTTCGCTGAGGGTTTTCTGTTCTCTTTAAAATGGTAGCCAGAATTCTTGTTAGGATGAGAACCAGGTCTCCTGCTTACATAGTTGAGAAGAATATAATCAAATCTTCATATAAGTAGATGGGTAAAATAAAAAAGGAATACTACGAGGGTCATAATAGCCTAGGACCTAATTATGTTTATACTCTGTTCTTTCCTCTCTGTGTCTTTCCAAGCTGCGTTACCTATCTGTTTGGATCGTGGACTCCATCCCTAGCCTAGGATCTTGTGTGTGTAGTAGACTATGTAAGTATAGTTCATTTCCTGTGTTTTTCCTTCATCTGCTTATTGCTAAATGAATTATGAATTACTCAAGAACTACACCCACAATTAATGACAGATGCAACATGTCGTGGATATGCTTCATTAATATCTTTAAGATTAAAATGACACACTGAATCACCAATGTTCCCTTAGACAGCTCTAAAACATATTTAGTAACATAATCGGTTAGCTTTTATATGTATGATATAATCTGTTATTAATATTGTACAATGTCTGTGAATCGATCGTAGTCATGGCACTTTCATAGATATAGAAAAAGCACATTATCATTTCAGCTAATGAAGCCAGAGTGTAGTCCATTGAGCACCTTCTCCTGTGAGACAATTGGAAGGCTAATGTAGTCCAACACGACTCTAAAAAAGGCAAATAAACCGAGCCCCTGATGGTTTTTGCAACGGCGACTTCATTTATTTACTTAAATGTTTCCTTTAAATTGCAGGGACAAAGAATCCCCTATGTAACCATATATTTATTAATATATTAATTTCTGTTCTCACTGGCACCTGCTAAGATCTATGTGTGCTATGTGAGACAATTGGGTCCTTGGGACATGGTGGTCAGTCAGCTTAGTTTATGTAACAAACTAAAAGACTCTCAAAAACACAAGGTTGGTCACTCCTGATGAACATATGAACTTGATATCTGGCCTCCACATGCATACATATGTGCATGAACTTGAATATACACATACATACACATACATACATACATTCAGACAGACATACAGACAGACAGACTCAAACTTACGTTGAATTTGCAAAGGTTTTATTGTCAAGTATGCAACATTAATGACATAAATAATTTTCAAGTGACAGTTGATTTCTCGTCCACCATCTTAGTAAGACCTGTCCAATATACAAGTTCATCCTCATGTCTCAGTGGACTTAGTAAGACTTAAATGTCTGTAGAAAGTGGTTGCATTCTCATAACCCGGGTTTTTTTCCCCCCAGAATTGACTCACTCAGTATCCAATGGTACAGGTTCTAAGGGTTTCTACGGCAGACACAGGACATCTAGACTGAGGTTTGTGAATTTTGGAAATCTCGTTTCTAATTATAAGATATTTGGGACTCAGTCTTGAGTAAATGAACTTGATTTTTCATGATGCATTGATCAGTTAGTCAGTAAGTAAATATTTAAATAAATGCAAAGGGGATTGGCCAACTATCAATGTATACAGTACAGCAAGGCACCCTGGTTGTTTACATAATTTATCCTTTCAGCCCTTAAATGCCTAATGGATTGGTCATGTTTTACCTCTGCCTCTGAGGTCATTAATAGGTCATTAGATATAGTTAATATAAGCAACTATCAATATTGATCAATGTAGAAATTGCTGACTTTTGAAGCTTTATTTTAAAGTTGGGGGTAAAAGCACCCCACAGTAAAATGAAGGAGATACAAAGACTTAATTTTGATAAAAGGAGCTATATTGCTGTTAACATAGTTTCATATGTATTTACATTAATAAGTATGCAAAGCTCATTCATATGAGATCATGAGGTAGTTATGATCGTCTGTATTCATCCTACAGAACCAATGGCTCCAGTCTGCTTAAAATGTGGGTCTGTGCTCACAAGTCCTCCGTGAGTAATATTCCAAATTATACTGCCTTCTTTTGATCAATAGTATGCTCTATGTGACTATAGAGTGTACAGTGTATTGAGACAAGGATGCCAGTCATTCTGTCCAACAAGATGCAACCATTCTTTGTCATTTTAATTGCTGACAAGTGGATGCATTCATTATTGGATTAGCAGATGTATAACACGGGCCGATGATGACAAGGTTTCGGGATTCTAAGTCGCAGACGATGACTGAATTTACAGAGATCTGAGGTCCACAGCACAACATGCCTCGTGACCCTCTCATGCAGTGGTTGCTTGTCAGGCGTGTTCAGCACATACGAGACATTAGCGGTACACTCTCATTGTTCCCGAGTGGATCATTGAAGCAACACACAAATCCACAGGCACATAAATCATTTAAGGCCTTGGTCAATCCTGGCCATCAATGACTGATATTGATACACACAGAAACTCCATTTCGAATGACTTGCATAAAGGTTTATATAACCTTTATCCAAAGGTGATTTATATAGTAAAATTCATGGCTTAAGTCTTTTTGATGGTCAAGGCCTTACATTTCAAAATTATCATTTTTTTTAACTTGATTTCTTAAGAAAACAACCACAACAATTTGACTCTTAAATAGTGAAAGGACAAATGTAAAAATAGATGGACAAATCTCTATCTTTTTACTATCTCTGCTGTTTTGTACACCCTGGATGAGTGCTGACACGTGATTCCCTGCCTGGGAGGTCCATGGTTGACCTATCACCATGCGGATGGAGCTCAGAAAGTGATGTAAGTGAAATCAAAATATATGCTCTTGATTTGAGTAGCTTTGATAAGACACTCCTGTATTGGTAAAGTCACGCATAGGCTCCTATCAGACCTATTGAGACCATGTGGTCATTTCAACATGACCTTGAACACTCTTGTGGATTTCCAAAATTCAGAAAAAAAGAGAGGCAGGATGGCATGAGATCTGTTGAATAACTTCAGTACATTAGGTTCTTGTGCTAAAAAAGGGGAAATGAATAGTTGCACATGACAAATACAGAGAGTGTGGGAGAGCGGGACAGCGTTGCATCAGTGATGACACCTGATCATGTCTGACCCATTGATCATAACTATAGATTTGCCAGTCTCATGTCCGTACCAGAACACATGTAGTCTGCAGCTGTGGGCCAGATATGTTATCTTGATCTTCATATTTTATTTTGTTTTTATAACTAGGCTAAAACTGCATTGAGATAGTATGAGTAAGAGTTTTATGTTCTTTTCTTGGATTTTTATTGATTGATTGATTTTTTTTCTTTTAATGACTGGTACTATTACCAGTTTATGGTCTTGCAAGAGCAGATGGTAGCCAAAGGGTCAATATAGCAGGTATATGAAACAATGTTTAATAAAGTTTTACCAAATTAGGAGCATGCAATGAGAGAGGCTCCTCTAGAGCCTACTCAAGGATTGCGCAGTTAGTAGAAGCAATAGTGATCAATTACTCTATAATTAATAACGAAGCGTAGAGATGATGTTGGATTCATGATGACCAAACAAGGAATGATTTGAGAGTCACGGATGATGACCTGAAATCTGAGTCTGAGGTCCACATCGTAAAATATCTAGCGCATACTATGATCTTAGTGACAGATATAAGGAATAGTCTACTTTTATAATGAGGTAAATGTAAAAAAAAAAAAAATCAGTAAGTCATTTTCCAAGCAAAACGTAGTCCACAAGAAGAAAACTAAATCAAACTGATCAAACTAAAGTAAATGTTTGAGAAAATAACTCCCGAGTAATTACTATCAATATATTAAAAAAAACACACAGTAGTTCATGAAGATAAGATGCCTGAGGAGTCCACATGAATTAAAATTATAAGAGCCTTCTTTGTATCATCAGAACTATGTCTAGTGTTTTTATTCTCCCCTACCCCGTGTTTTTATTTTTTTTAACATTGAATAGTGTCATATACAAAAAGACGGTTGATAAGACGAGATAGTGAGGCAAGCACACAGAGTGCAGGAATGAAGGAACAAAATGTTCATTTTCTTTCGTTAATCTCTTTTGGTTTGTCATTTCAGAATACATTCTGCCACCAAGATGATTTTCACACTATCGTTTGATCATGAGCCCCATAAGAAGCTGTTACATACAGATTGTAATATAGACACAGTGTAAGTATAGTCCATGGTCCGCTGTTGCTTCATGTTGCCTTTAAAGTCCATTTACTGTATTGATAAAGGCACTACCTATTTAGGAAGAGCAGCTATGCAAATGCTGTGTGTGATATGTGCTTGAAACACAGGCTTAGTAAAATTGAGTCAAATTCAGGATACATACTACAAAGGCATTATAATTGAAGAAGAAACGGAGGAACTCTGAAGTGTATTGAGGGATCTTGCCCTTCGTTTTCTTTTGTGTGTGAGTGACAATTATCTCAGTAGTACTTGTCACCAGTTACACCAAAACTGTAGAGAAGAAGAGGGCTGATGTTGGATCAATGATGACTGTGGGTGCTGTCTGAGTCGTGGATTATGACTTACAAGTCTGGGAGTCTGAGGTTCACATCATAATATATGTAGTGCACACTGTGATCTTTGTCACAGATGTCAGGAATACTCTGCTTTCACACGTAGATAAAATACAGACAAATTTGGAAATCATTTCTAATAAGACATAATTCCATAGCAATCATGTTAAGCATATATGCTAATTAGTCTTTCATTCAGATATGATGACTGGGGATTCCCCACGAGGGAGCAATCTTCTTGCTGACCTGGGACCCATGGACAGTCAATCTGTAATGAAGAGCAAGTCACAGAGTTATGAAGGCCAAATGTATGATCAGATGGAGAATGAGCCAGAGAGGCAGACAGAATGCATTGATACGTAAAGAGAGTCTTAATCTTTTCCTCATTTTTCTGCTTTTTACTCTTAGAATGTATCCCTCCAAGCTGATTGACATGTTCTTCCTTAGTCTTGAAGTTTGAGCTTTCCCTGTTTGTGTCTGCATTGAGATAGTGTGAGTAAGAGTTTTATGTTCTTTTGTTGGATTTTTATTGATTGATTGATTGTTTAATGACTGGTACTATTACCAGTTTATGGTCTTGCAAGAGCAGATGGTAGCCAAAGGGTCAATATAGCAGGTATATGAAACAATGTTTAATAAAGTTTTACCAAATTAGGAGCATGCAATGAGAGAGGCTCCTCTAGAGCCTACTCAAGGATCTCGCAGTTAGTAGAAGCAATAGTGATCAATTACTCTATAATTAATAGTGAAGAGTAGAGATGATGTTGGATTCATGATGACCAAACAAGGAATGATTTGAGAATCACGGATGATGACCTGAAATCTGAGTCTGAGGTCCACATCATAAAATATCTAGCACATACTATGATCTTAGTGACAGATATAAGGAATAGTCTACTTTTATACTGAGGTAAATGTAAAAAAAAAAAATCAGTAAGTCATTTTCCAAGCAAAACGTAGTCCACAAGGAGACTGTACATATATGTATGTGTATGTGTATGTGTATGTGTGTGTGTGTATGTGTATATGCATGTATGTATGTATGTATGTATGTATGTATATACATGCATATATATCATATATACCAGAAACATTATAGTAGCTATGGCCACTTGTTTTCTCAAGAAGAAAACATGACAGAATGTTGACCATGTAGGTAATAGATAAGAAATCTAGAGAAGATGGTAGAATGCATGGGGGAGACATCAGAATGTCCATCTTCTTCTAACCTCTTCTGTGTATTCTTTAAGAATGGCTATCCTGCAAGCTGACTTCACCTGAAAATCAACCTCGTGATCTAGCCTTTGTGTTCGGGGATAGTTAGTGTGAGTATTATCAGTGTTTGTGCCTTGATTTATGTTACTATAATATGGTAGAGCAATCTTGGCAAAATGGTAGACGTGGCCAGTATGTTAAGCACCACGTTTAACAAGTTAGTTTTGCCAAACTAAGTGTATCTAAGTAAGAAATACTCAGTAGGAAAAAAAAAACACTTTAGATGTCTAAATTACATTCAAGGATCTTGCTGTTAAGAGTTTTGTGATTCATAATCATCTCCGTAGTGTGCATAATTACTCAAAAACACATAGAAATTTATAGAAAAGAGGAGGGCAGATGTTGGATCAGTGATGACCAGTGGTAGCCGTATGATTCATGGATCATGACTATAGACCTGGGAGTCTGAGATCCACATCTTAATAGCTAGCATAATACCTCATATCCTGGTAGCAGTTAGGAGTGCTAATCTCTTTTTATAAATATGAATTTTTATAAATAGGAAATTTTATAAATAGGAATTTGTAGCATAAACTTTTTATAATATTTTTATAATATTACTTCATAGGAAAGGCATTAGTGATATACACCAAAGTATGACTGAGGGTGCCATGTGAACCATAGTTAAAGGCAATGCTTATGGTCAGAGCTAGGGGTATTGGTTTTCTCAAGATGCACACATATTAGTGTGTTATACATTTGGGTAAGAGTCAAGGAGAAAATTTCCAGAGGAGGAGGTAGGAGTCATGGATGAGTGAGTGATCCGAGTAAAAATCTTTTTATTATCTTCTGCTTTACACTCTCAGGATGGAGTCCCCCCACGTTGATTTAGAAATTCTCTCTTGGTCATAACTGTCATAGTCATCTCTAGATTCTTTATAGATACCAGGTGAGTTTATCCAATATTCTTTTGTTGCTTCATGTTGTTTTCTTTTTAAATCTGTGCAAATAATGATCAAAGAAAGTCCCCTTCTTATCTGAGAAGAGCAACCAGGCTCCAAGGATTAACATAGCAGTTGGATGAAACCCAATGTTAAGCAATATTTCCCAGGCCAGGCATGTAGAAAAGCAGAGATTCGCATCCTGTCAAAGGATCCCCAGGGCCTTGAGAGTACACTGAAGGATCTTGTCCTCAGCTCTGGCCATTCTGTATCATCTTAGAGACACTAGTGAGATCAATTGCTCAACAGACATTCATAAATCAAGAGAGAAGGATAGGGTCAGTGGAGACCACTACGTGCATGTGACTCATGAGACTTGAGCAGGGGTCTGGGAGTTTGATGTCCAGATTATGAGTATAGTTTATACCCTTTTCCAAGTAAGATACCGTTCTATAGTAAGAGCACTAAAATTACATATCAAACACAGTAGTTAATTCATACTGGTTCATTAAGTTTACTAAGGAGTATGTTACTTGGTAGGGCCAAAGCCATAACCATTCCTTTTCTCATAAAGAGCCCATAGTAATATTCCATACACTTAGATGAGTGACCAAAGGAATAGGGCAGGGACTGGTAGTGCCAGGTTGTTTTTTTTTATAATGTTTATAATTGTTTTATAATTGTGCTCTCAGAATGGATTCCCCAACCTGACCTATGCATTCATCCTTGGTCATGAGCTTTACAATCTGCTCATTGTGTTCATCGGATAGATTCTTTATAAGTGTATTCAGTGTTCATGTCTTGCTTAGCATTGCTTTTAAAGACAGTTCACTGTATTGATGAAAACCTAGTTATCATCTGTAAGCGTAGTTATTGGCCATTGGTTAATATGACGTGTAGGCAAACACAATATTTCAGAAAATTTTGCTAAGTAAAAAATGTATAATATAAGATATGGTTAATAGGAAAAAAATTTTATAGAAGTCTGATGTATACTTTAGAATCTTGTTCTTTGATTTTTTTTGTGATTCATAATTATCTCAATATCCATTTTAAAGTCAATAGGAAGGGTAGGGCTGATGTCCTCTGGTAGCACATGATTTGTGGATGATGGCTATAGGTCTGGAGGTCTAAGGTATGCATTATTAAATAGTATAAACTCATGATGATAAATATCAATAAAATAAATCCCTAACTCATTTTCTATTCAAGATATAGTTGCACAAGATTATTAAAATGTATACCAAACATAATACTTTTTCAGATGTGGTTGCTGAGGATGTCACATGAATTAAATTTATAGGCAGGATTCTTGGTAGAGTCAGAGTAATGCCCATTTGTTTTCTCATTAAGAACATAGCAGGGCCATGCATCTATAGATGGGTGGTAAGAGAAGGGTATGAAGACAAGCAAGCAGAGAGCATGGATGAGTGAAGGGAATGCCAATCATTTTCTAGTCTCTGTTCTTCGAAGTCTCTGAATGAACTTGCCCTAAGTTGAAACTTGCCCTAAGTTGATTTACAAGTTCTCACTTGGATGTGAGCTCCATTCAGCTCTTTGGGTTCATACTATTAAACAGTGGCAGTAGAGTCACCAGTCCTATGTTGGCTCATGTTATTGTGTATTTTATTGATTTAAGCGGACAGCCATTGCAAAACAGTTAACACAGAAAGTCGGTGAAACACAATGTTGAGAGGTTTTTCTAGGTAATTAATAATGTACACTAAAAAAGGCACCAATCATGGCACCAATTTTGGAAACACTGGAATATACCCAAGGATCTCTAAATACTGAACATATACCCATCATTTTAGTGACAAGTTAAGTAGTTTATTTCTATAATTAAAAAATCATAGTAATTAGATATAAGTTATATTTAGATAAATTAAATAAAATGTAAAAATTGGGTGTCATTTTTAATTAAGATGTAATTTTATAAGAAGAGTATTAAATGTATACCAAACAGTAATTCATTTGGACTTGATATCTAAGAATGTCATACTATATCAACTCAGACTATAGATAGTCAATGTTCTTAGTAGAGTTAGGGCCATTCTTCTTCTTCAGAGTAGAGTATTGTATCCAGAGAGGAATGATAAGGAGAGAGGTAGTTTACAAAGTAAATATCAATCTATTCATGTTCTCTTTTGCTTTGTACTTAGATCGGATACCCCTAAGCTGATGTATATATTCTCTTCCTTGGTTGCGAGATTCCTGCTCTGGTCGTTGTAGTCCTAAGATAGACGTAGTTGTGTAGTCAGTGTTCACACATTGGTTGTGGGTACATTGAAAGACTATACACACTACTGTTGAAGTACCATCTTATCCAAGTGGTAAGTAAAGCATCTATGTGAGATAGAATGTCTAACAACATTTTTGCCATATATGGGACACATAATTAAATACTACAGGATAAAAGATGCTATGGATGTTGGTAATATACTCAGTTATATTTTCCTTAGATATTTTTATGATTATCTTAATAGCACACTTGATCAATCACTTGATAACCATATAAAGATACTAATAGAGACAGAGAGGTCTGATGTTGGATCTGTGATGACAATGGGTGGCGTATGAGTCGTGGATCATGAGTACATGTCTGGAAGTCTGAGATTCACATCATAAAAGGTCTAATATCCCTATGACGTTAGTGACAGATGTTAGCCACAGTCTAGCTTTACAAAAGATAGAATATAAACAAAGTAAATAGTTAAGTTGCTTTCCAATCAAGGCATCCTTCTACAGCATGAGTCCTACTAATACAGACCAAACAGACATTGGACGGCACATCAAGGAAAATCAATGGTGATATTGACAATGGTTCGAGAATGGCCACTTATTTTCTGAAAAATGATATACAATAGTGTAGTGTACACTTAGATGAGTGATAGATAGAGAAAAAGCAAATGGGGAAGAAAGCACTGGATAAGGAAACAGAACGTCTATTGTTTTATGTCCTCTTCTGATTTGTTCTCTTAGAATGTATTCCCAACCAAATTTATGGATTGTTGGTCGGGAGTTTTCTGACCTGTTCTTTTCCATTCCTAAAATATATATATTCTGAATATAACCAATATTCAAGTCTCGGTTTGGGTTACTTCTAAAGACCTTTGATTTTATCGATAAGACCTGGCTTTTTAATCAGGAAGATCGACTTTCAGGATGCCTTATAAGCAATAATGTTCTTTATGTAACAGAAGCATGGCCATAGTTTTTGCCAAGAATATGTAGAAGTATCAAACAGATTTAGTTTGAGGGCTCAGAAGAAAGAATCTAGATAAGCAGACAGAACTCATTGATGAGTAAACATAATTTCCATCTTTATAATCTCATCTGCTTTGTACTCTCAGGATGGATGCCCTCAATGGGATTTGCACACTCTCCATTGTTCCTGTGTTCTGTCATCAGCACTTCAGACATATCATGTACACACAGTGTGAGTATAGTCAGTGTCCTTCTGTTGATTTGAGGTGCCCAGAAATGCTGGTCCTATGTTGATAAAAATGGCTTATCATTTGAGATGAGCAGCCTTTGTCAACTGACTGGCAGGCCATGTGCCATAAGATAGTGTTTAATAGTATTTTGTCAATTTCAGAGTTAATAATAAAATACGTACTCAACATGGCAATATCCTGAGTAGTCTTTTTAATATACTTAAAGATCTTATTCTTAGGTTTAATTATTTCAATAGTAGTAGAGATGTAGAAACTCATAGATTAGAGGTGGGCTGATGTCGGATCTATGATGACGGTTGATGCTGTCTGAGTATCTTATCATGATCATATGTCTGAGAGTCTGAGGTCCACATCGTAAAATATCTTGAATACGCCCATCCTCTTAGGGGCCAATTCTAAGAGTTGGCTACTTCTATAATTAGCTAAAATATCAATCAAAATAACTTTTTAAGTCTTTTTCAAGACGTATTACATACGAAAAATATCTCCCAAGCAATAGCTCTTTCATACCTGATGGCTCAGGATGCCATGCCACATGAGCTCAAATTGTAGTCAGAGCCATGGCTATTTGGTTTCTGAGAAAAGACTCAGCAGAGGTTGTTAGAGCCTTAGCTGAGTGATGAGAAGAGGGGTAATTTCAAGCATGAAAATGTATGGATAAATTAACAGAATACCAATATTCTCTTCCGCTTTAAACTCTGAGAATGGATTTTCCCCAGCTGATTTTCCACATTCTGTATTCTTCGGGTGAGCACGGAGTGAGTATACTCTTGTTTTGTTGTTATTGTTGTTGTTGTCGTTGTTGTTTTGTGTTTTCCCTGCCCTGCCTGTTGATAGTATTGTTCAAAGTTTTCTTGTCATCTGAAAGAGCTACTTTTACCTGATCATATATATGGCAATACAATGTTTACTTTTTTCAAATTAATAATGTGTAAGGAACGAAATTGGCCACAGAGCTAATGACGTGTAGTTCCCCCAAATTAAACTGAAAATCTTCTTTTGTATTTTTGTGATTCATAATTATTTCAGTATCACAGCTGATCAATACACACGAAGAAAATGAGACGGCAGTTGCTAAGAGTAGTCAACTTCTACAATTTGATAAAATAACCATAAATATATATGTTTCAGGGAGTTTTATAATCATAATATAAAGCAAGAGTGCAAAAAAAAAAAGCAAGAGTGCTATCTCTATATATAGCAAACACAGTAGACCTTCAGACATGAGACGTGAGAACACCCCACTAAATTAAAATTTTATTCAGTGTTCTTAGTGGAACTGTAGCCATGACCTGGCTTTTTGTGAAAAAAGAATGCATAGTTGTATAATACATTCAGATCACAAACCACTTACCTTTTTTGTTTTTATCTTTGACCTTGGATTCTTTCTTTTTAAAACTGAAATTACATCTTTTGCATACAGTGTAGCCTGATCAAGGTTTCTTCTCCTTCATCTCTCAGATCCTCCCTTCCTTCACACTGATCCAATGTCATCCCTTCCTTCTCTTTGTCTTTTTAGAAAACTAAGAAGCAAACAACAACAACAAGAAAACAAACTAAAATAGAACAAAATAAACAAACATAGAAAAAGAAATATTAAGTACCTGAAGCACCTCCATACACAGACATAAATGCAGACACAGAAAACCCATAAAACACAAAATTAGAAATTAGTGTGTGTGTGTGTGTGTGTGTGTGTGTAATACATGAATACGTTTAAAGAATATGTGCAGACACAGCATGATACTAAAACTTCTGAGTTGACCTTTCTTGAATGATTAATGAAATGAAAGGTCCTATGTATATTAGCACCTCTTTATAACCTGTGTTATTTTGTACTCTCAGAACAGATTCCTGCCTCACTGGTCACTAGGTTCATGGTCCCTCGCATATGTGTCAGAAGCATAGTCACGAACGTGAGTCAAAGTTCTTTGTTTTAATTCTTTCTTCTGTTTTTATAAAGGCATTGCATAGAATCCAAAGTTCAGTGAGAAGTGTGATGTGGCCCTGATATGCTTGGTTGGCTAATTAATATTATTAAAATTAATATTAACTTAAGTAGGCATAGTAACCTCAGGCAAGGAGTTAAAATATACATGTAAATTATCCTTAAAGATATGTTTTTCATGATTCATAATTATGAAATTTTCATTATTGAATGAATAATCAGCTAATAAATAATAGTAAAACTTCATCGGAGAAGCTAGAGGCCGAGGATGGATCGGTGATGACATCTTGTTGGGTATGAGCCGTGGATCATGACAACAGGTCTGGAAGTCTGAGTTCCATACCTTAAAGGCATCTAGTGAGCATGCTCTGATTCTAGACATTCCTCTGAGGTGTGGTCAAGTATGTTCCGTTTCAAAGTTTTGAGTTTTCATTTTTGTCTTAAGTCAATCAGTGAAAGCATCTCTATGCAAATATTTGAATCAAGATAAAGCAGGTTAGCATAGTTCAGCATGAGAATCATGCCAACTGAGAAATGTTCACAAATAAATAGGTAAAAAAAATATACAATAAAATTAAACAATAACAACAAGAGAAATGAATTTCTTAATGGTATTACTAGCTAAAGACAATCCATTTATTGAAAGTAAGGGCTAGTCCTTGTCTTGTTCAGGGCTTCAGTATTTATTATTGTTTTCTCAAGTAAACTAAGAGAATTTAGTTCCTCGCCAAGTAACTAATAAAATGTAAGGTAGAATGAAAAAAAATAAATGGCTATAATATAATTTTTCTTCTTTGTACTGTTGGCGTAGATGCTTTCCTGGAGATATTCACATTCTGGTTCCTGAATATACAGAGACTGAAGTGAGTATAGTCAAATCCCTTGACTTAATTTGGGAGGTTTTAAAAGCTTAATCTATTGGTAAAAGTATCACAGGGAATCCATCAACACCAACTATGGCTGACCAAGACATAAACATGACCATCCATCATTATTCTCATTAATTAACGCTTGCAAAACTGAGAAAAAGGAAAAGAAAACAGAGAGGTTTCACCCAAGTAGTGAAAGATCCTACGGGCGACTTGAGGATCTCATTCGTAACTTATTCATAGTCACCTCAATGTCATTAGGAAAATGGTAGATTAATTAATCAACAAATGCAGAAACAAATGGAAATAGACTGTCTCGTATCAATGCTGACCAGTGTATTTTCAGTTCTGGACATCTGAAGTCCACCCTGACCCTTAGAAGTGGTCTTCTGCACAGATGTGAGAACAGAGGCTGCATTATATCCTTGTTGGTAGTGTTAATAGATTCACAAGGGAAAAAAACATAAATAAGGAAGAATTATGCTGCATTTAAAAGTATAGAATAAGGTTGGAGGCAATTACTGCTATATAGTGGAAATATTAGTTTTTTATTAATTGTTCCAGTATATTCCTTTTGTCTGATGACATGGCTTATGGACTATTCTGTTTCTGAATTGAAAGTAAACATGAGTAAATAATTCGTAGGTAAATTGTCCAGTGACCAGCATCTCATTTTTTCTTATCTGTTGTGTCCCTTTCAGAAAGGCCCAACTTAATATCAATGGGTGGATCCTGTCTCATCCTAAGCTCTAATGTTGCGTGGGTCACAGCTACAACCGTGAGTAATAATTACAGTATAAATTTTTGAGGCTATTGCATGTAGAGATTTGATGTGTTCAGGAATAAAGGCTGTTGTTACCAACCTAGTTACTACTACCTATAATTTCTATACAATAAATACCAGATGTCTCGCATATCCAAAGCAAAGGGAACTTGAGTCACTGCCTCTGTTCATGATAGTCCTGTGATAAGATACAAGCATTTGTGTCATTCATTTTGGTCTTGATGGGCTTTGCTTTTATTGTTACAAGTTTATATATTAAAATTAGAGTCAAACAAAGGTAAATGTCAACCGTTAATCATTATTCAGTTATGTAAATGTCACTCAAGAAGACAACCTATCAACAAAAATTAAAAATATTGAAACCAATTCAGAGTCACTTGAGGACAAGAGCAGTTGATAGTTCAGTGGAAAAGCCCTTGTCTTGGATGTGTGAGGACCTGGGTTCTATCTTCAGTAACACAAAATCAAAGAAATAAAGAAAAATAGTATCTAAGAATGTTAGTTTTTTGGCTAGTGATTTAAAATCAGTAGTACTCGAACTACTGATTATGAATATCAATATTGAATATTTGATTATTTAATCATAATGACAATCAACAGACATATAGTGTTTATTTTGGTTTGGAAACCTTATGTACATCTGAGCAACGGAAAGAACATATATAACGTATTTTTCAAACCTCCTTTTCGCTTTGGCCCCTTATCAATGCCAAAGATGGCAGTGGCTGCCTCGGTGTTTGGCACATTGAAACCAGTTAGATTAGCAATTACTCATTTGCCTGAATAGACAATTTCTAAGAGTATTCCCTATAACCTTGGAACACTCAGACCTAACTGAGATGTCTCCATCAAATCCCTCCCTTCAGGGCTCAGCGAACCCTGTGGAAGAGGAGGTGGAAACAGTGTACGAGCCAATTTCAATGGAAGACACAGAGGAAGCTAGGCCTTCTGGACACAAGAGGACTGATGTACCTGTGAACTCTCAGAGACTGAGGCAGCACGCACAGGACCTACACAGGTCTAAGCCCGATGGGCTCTCAGCACCGAGAGGGGAACTGGACACAATTCTATATTCATAAACCAGAAACTTTCTCCAGTTGATAAACTCTGTCAAAGGACATATAAGAACTGGACATATAAGAACAGGCCCCACCGCCCTGATGGCCAACACATGATGAACTCAATGGCATTTTTGGAGGGTTTTGTGACTCACAATGCGTTGTCTGGTACTTTTTTTTTTTTTTAACACGCTACAGATATTTTTTGTATATATCATGGTTTCTGACTGTATTTTTTGAATTTTCTTATATGTGTCCCAGTGTCCGTATATGATTTTTCTTTGACTCTTTTTTTTTTCCTATTCTGCTTTGCTTCTTTTTTCTTAATTGGTCATTTTATTTATTTACATTTCAAATGTTATCCCCTTTCCCAGGTTTACCTTCCAGAACCCCCCTATCCAATCCTATCTACTCTCTATTCTCTGATGGTGCTAACCCCCCCACCAACCCACTCGTGCCCCACAGTACTAGCATTCATTCCCCTACATTCAATCATCAAACTTCATCGGACCAAGGGCCTCTCCTCCCATTGATGCCTGAGAAGGCTGGAGCCATGGGTTTCTCCATGTGTACTCTTTGTATGGTAGTTTAGTCTTTGGGATACCTGGGGGGCGGGGGGGTTAATCATTGTTCTTCCTATGGGGTTGCAAACTCCTTCAGCTCCTTCCGTCCTTTCAATAACTCATCCATTGTAGTCTCCATTTCAGTCCCTTGACCAGGAGCATTCTCTCTATAACAGTCAGGCTGTCAGATAAAGGCTATATCAAGCTCCTGTCAATCTTCTTTGTTTGTATCTCCTCCTCCTCCTCTTCCTCTTGCTCCTCCTCCTCCTCCCCTTCCTCCTCCTCCTCATTTTAGATAACTGTTTTTATTCTAATGTAAGAATGAGTGAATTGGTGTGGATTTGGGTGGGTGGGGAAATGTGGAACATGGGAGGGTGTTGGGACGGGAAGCTATAATGTAAATCCATTGTATAAAATACATCTTAATAAAAACGTATTTCCTCTGTGACTAAAAAAAGTGTGAAGTAGAATTATTGAAAGAGGGCGGAAGGATCAATGGGAAGTATAAATCAGTAATACATGGGTGAGTGGGTGCGTGTGAGATAAAAGATACTGAGAATAGAGAAGATAGTGTGGGATAGGATTGGATTTGACCCAAAACATGTTATATGCGTGTGTGCATTTTTATTAGCAAATTTGCAAAGAAAAGTATCACTAATGGTTTTACCATCAAAATAAAGAAAATAAAGTATGATATCTTTTAGCTAAGAAAAGTTCACGGTGTACATGTTTGTTTCTAGCCACATGCGGATGAGGCTTAGTGAGTGGTACAGCACTTCCTGTGTATCCAAAGGCCCTGGTTCCATCCCCATTACTAAAAGTATAGTTTCTTTTTATTGACCATATCAATATAAGAAAATATATTACATATAATTGAAGTAGCCATGGTGACTATTTTTGAAACTTTACCGGTCAGAAGTGAAATACCTATTTTTGCAACAGATAGGGCCTAGCCATGAAGAACTGGCCAAGAATCATCCCTGTTTGAAGTGCAGTTGTCTGTAGACTTTGGATTATTCACAGGGACCTAGTGAGTTAATTGGTAAACAAGGCTGGATAATAAGAAGTGAATTTCCCCGAACTCTGGATCGATATGGCTGCTGGTGTGACTCACAGGTGGTCTGGAGCACTGAAGGCCTCAGATAAAAACAATTATTACTTTCGCCCACTCCAGAATAGATGTGACAGATAGATTTGGCATTTTGTAAGGATCTTGTCTCAGTTTGCTTTTCACAGGTTTTGATTATTTTGCAGTCAGGAAATCAATAAGAGAATGTACAATCAAAACACTTTGTTGGACGCATTAAAGAGGTACGTTTTTTTTTTTCTTGTGAGTCATTTGAAAATATAAAGAATCAATGTACAATTATACATTAGAGATAAGGGGACATGATATCATCGAATGATGACAAAATTAGAAAGAACACTAATTATTACCACCACTAATGTTAATAAATGTGGTAATTAGTTCAGGGATAAATGTTCAGATACGTTTCTTGTGCCTAACAGTGATGGCTGGTACTCTTGCATTTTTTTAATGGAAGTTCAATGTTGTCTTGTTATTCTTAATAGACTATGAAATATACATTAAGCTAAATTAGGTATCTCCAAGTGACACAATGATACCAGGGGCAATTTAAGAAATGTCTCAATTGTCTCAGTGTTTTCTCCAGTGTGTGGTAAGGTTGAGGCTGCACTGGGCTGTATGAGTTTCTGCCAATGTATGCAACAGTAAGGACTGTGTCTGTGTCCATCCTTAACGTATAGAGCACAGCATTCAGGACAGTTAAGACGAATTTGCACTGAAACTAGACAAATGATAAAAAGCCTATGGAAAAACGCATCAAGTTTCTTAGATGAGTTTTTAACGTTAATAGATTGTATTGTTATTAGAGATGTATCAACTAATTAATTTACATCCTAGATGAGGATTAGTAGAATTGTACCCAACCCAGTGGTGCTGATGTTGCTATTTCAACCCCACACTGTGCACACTGTATGAAGCGGTCAGGTCCAGTGAAGACATGATAGAATGGATCCTTTCTGCTTGAAAGGATGCTGGGGATGCAGCTACATTCTTGTAATGTAATTAGATAAACGTGACGACTACAGTAGACAGAAAAATACAGATAAAATGTGTGAAACCTCTAACACGTGGGGCAGTCAGAAAGGTACGACAATACATTATTTCAAATGCATGGACTGTGCCTGAATCTCCTTTTAACTATGTTTTGTTTTTGGTCTCCTAGGATGAACGTGTGATCTGGCTTCCGTGTCCTGCAAGCTTCTGGCCCACACCACCGGTCCTAATGGTATGAACGTTTTGTCCAATGGAAAATAGTTCTTGCTTTCAAATTTTTTTTAAAAAAAGCTTACTCATTGTAGCATTTAAAAATGAGCATAGATAGAATTTTTTAAAAGCCTACCGTGGTCCAAGGTATAAATAGGGTTTTTTATGAAATAGCTTGATTCGGTGTTATTGATAACGATGAAGGTAACTGATGAGGAGGGCCTTATTCAATTAGAGACTCATTCCAAAGACAAATGGCGGGAGCGTAGAGCTTTTGTGATTAATTCATTTATTAGTAGTAAATCAATGAGCTAATCAATAACAGTGTTAGATGACAATGAAGATAGGCCCACACCCCACACCAGCGGTAGTGTCACAGTGGCATAGGGCTCCTTTGTTATCCGTAATGTGCCTCTGGATGACTGAGGCTTAGACAGAACTTCCTCAATTCCTGTCCCGTTATTGATCCTGTGGAGGAAGGTTAAGAATATAAAAATGATCTTGTTTTATTACATCTACTTATTTGTTTTGGAAGAGGGGTGACATTTTCTTCTATAGCATAGGCTTGGGGGTTCAGCGGACAGTTTCTAGGAACCCATTCTCTCGTTTCAGCATCTGGGTCTCAGAGATTGGACTAAGGCCATCCGGGACCCTAGTTTGTTTATTTATTTTATTTATTTATCAATCTAAGTTATTTATAGACCAATACAAATGAAGTAAAGAAACCAAAGCATTGCCCTGCCGTGAATATATCCAAGGAAGCTAGAAACGTTAATGTTAACTGTGAATACTGATGCCTGTTGAGACCAAATGTGAGCCAAAGAGCCAATAATACATCCAGTGTACTGAAAAATAACGCTTCATGTTAGAAGCATGTGTCAGAGCCACAAATGCAGACACACAGTGACATGGTCATTTTCATATAGATATTTGTGAACGTGAAATTTTTAATTAATATCTGAATGAACAACAACTGAAGTTTTGGAAAGAAGACTCTGTCTTTCTGACTTTCTTTGTCTTTTCTTTGAGGATGGATGGAGGTCCTCCCGTCTTCGGGAGGACCCTGCCGTGCTGTTTGCTTCATGGGTGGAGGCCACAGGGCCAAAGGTGAGTAAAAATGCATGTTTATGTCCTTACAAGTTTTTCTTAGATGATTTATTAAATTATCATAAGTGTAACATAGTCTCCTCAAGGCGGACTGGGAAAAATGATGAATATGGAATTAGCCTGACATACTACATTTATAAATTCATTGATGGTAATTGTGGAACACGATATGAGGATCCTAGATGATCCTGAAGGCATGAAGATTATTCATTGCTCTTAGGTTTCATGAATCATTGTTTTTAAAATTAGGACCATGGAATAAATTACTTGTTTAATAAACACATGTAAATGAGTGTGAACGGAAGCAGTCCCAGCCAGGACCACTGTGGACAGCATAGGGCTAATGAGGTTTGAAGAGTACTATGTCTGACATGCTGAAGTCCGATTATATATATATATATTAAACTGTGAATTTTACTAGAAAATATAAATAATCCAAATGTTGTCTTTCTTTAAGAAAGGCACAAGAAACAATTCGGTTGAATTATTATTATTATTATTATTAATTTTACAGATAATTAGCAAGTGTTTCCCCACCTCACAAGGAATGGCCAGGATAGGGAAGTGAGGGCAGTTTGGTAGCTCAGTGAAGTCTTCCCATCATTTTGTATTAATTGTTTAATACAATTAGTCAAAGAGGAATCTAAGGCAACATGTGTCTTCTATATAAATAATAACCACATTGAGGTTTCTTGCCTCCATGTCTAACCACTGTGCTGATTTTATCGCTATTATTTATAAATTCATAAATGGAAGAGTGATCACATGAAGGGGAAGGCATTGCACAGGACCATTCTTCAACTGGTCACATGTGAGTCAGTAAAGATGAATAATTCATGTGTGGACCTGTAAGGCATAATCATGTAGACAGCTTTCAGGAACATGCGAAAACACTCAAGAACATTATTCTCACTTTCAACGAATACCAAATTTGTCATACATGTATAAAATACACCTAGGTCATATCCGCCTCAATGGCATACATGTATATAACAATTCTAGGTCCTATCCACCTCAAACTCCCACCTTCTAGTTTCCCCTCTGCCCCCTAAACACAGCTTATCCCCAACTTCATGTCTTTTCTTTAAAAAAAACGTTGTCCTTTTAAAAAGTGAGCCTAAGTAGCATTGCATGTATGCACGTGGGATTGGTGGCATCCCCTGGGCCATGTGACTATATCCCCCCCCCGCCACCCAGTAGCAGCTGTTGAATAAATAAACCTATCGATTAACAAGAAGATGAGAAGTATGGTACTATGTGTTGTTTCAATGTATAGTAATAAAAATAATAATGGTGGAGATGGATGGCTAATAGTTGTTACATTGTTCTTCAGCTGAAGAGGATGTCAATAGTTACCAGTCACAGTTAATGATTTGTGTCAGTCACAGGCTTATTTATCATGTTGGTAGAAAAATGAGTATATTGCATGTTACTGGATACCTCCACATTTATGATGGAAAAAAAGATTAACAAAAATTATTCTTTTTTTTTTTTCTTCTCTACTTTGCCCTCTTCACAATGGATATACCTACTGCTGAACCCATGGCTGATTCTGAGATTATATGACAGACTCCTCTGAGTAAGTATGGTTTTGGTTTGATTTGGGATACATGTTCTAACACCTTGATGATAGTTTTGATACCTATTAAATATGAAGAGTCCTATTGCCAGAGAGCAATAGAATTTGAAATGTTGCGATGCCTGATAAAGAACTGAGCTGAGCGCACAGACTCCGAGGGATTTGCATGTCTTAGCGCTGGGATTTATGAATCATGTATTTATTTCAGCCGAATCTGTGAGCAAATCATTTGTTCAATTGCAATGCAGTAGTAAACAGTGACTGTTGGTTCAGTATGAATTGTAACAATGAGGCCCATATAGGT